CCAATCGCCCGCGAACCAATTGCCCGCGGAGCAGCCGCCCGCGCCGCAGCCGCCCGCGCTGACGCCGCCGCCCGCCGCGGAGCACCCCGCGACGACGGAGACGCCGGCGCCGCCGCCCGCCGCGGACGAGGCGCCGGCGGCCGCGGACGCTCCGCCGCCGGCCGTCGCGGCGGCGGACGAGGCGCCCCCGGCGGCGCGCGACGCGGCGCCCGACGCGGCCCGCGCCGCGGCGCCGGACGAGGCCGCGCCCGCGGAGGCCGTCGGCGCGATGGCCGCGGGGCTCTGCTCGCTCGCGCGGCCGCAGACCGCGGATCGGCCTCGGACCGTGGAGTCCGAGATCTCGAGCGAGCCGCGGATGCTGGAGATCGCGGGCGCCAACGGCGCGATCGTGCGCGCGCGGCCCGACCTCAAATCGGACGTCGTCGGCGAGCTCGACCAGGGCACGCCCGTCTTCTACACGGGCACGCGGACGCGCATCGGCGAGCGCGTCCGCATCGAGATCGACGCGCCCCTGGAGGGCTGGGTGTCGCTCGCGCTCTGCGGACCGTGCGACGCAGCGCCATCGGGGGGGATTCCCTAAAACGCCGCTGCCGTAGCCCTCCGGACCCCTGGCCAAATCGGCAGTTCGCGAGGCGTCTCGCGGTAGGCCTCGCTGGAGGCCTCCAACATTGGTTTGCTCGCCGCTCTACAGCTGTAACATCTCCTCGACGGGCATCACCGTCTCGCGCGCGCCGGCGCGGGCTGTGCCTTGCGAACTCGCGCCGTTTTAGGGGTTGGATCGCGTTGCCCGCCCCCCTCAGAGTGCATCGCCCGACGCGCGCCTCGGGGGGTGGCGCCGAAGGCGTTGAGCGCATCGAAGGCGCCGAAGACGCCGTTGAGGTTGCGCAACTCGTGCGCAAAAGCCCCCTGGCGCGCGCCCGCCCACGCGTACCCACCAAAACGCGACTTACACACCAGCAGCGGCGCGCGCGCGCCTCGGACACCCCCCGAAAGTGATGGGCGCGGCGCGCTCGCGACATCGGCGACGACGTCGAACGTCTCGAGCCGCTTCGGCGAGATCGCGCGTCCATGAACCAGTTTTGTCCTTGCAGGTAATCCTTCGCTGAAATCACCACCATGGGCTGGCGCAAGGGTTTCTGCTACTGGTTCATCGCCAGCAGCGAGGCCTTTCGCGTCCCCGCGGCCGTGCGCAAGCACGAACCCGCGAAGGCCTTCGGCCTCCTCTTCTCCAAGGAATCGTCGACGGCCACGCAGTCGGAGGTCGAGGCCCTGCGCAAGCAGCTCGCGGCGGCGGAGTCGCGCGCCGCGTCTGCGGAAGCGAGCCTCGCGTCGTCGACGACCCAAGTCAAGGAGTCCGCGCTGGAGATCGAGGACCTGCGCGAGCGCAACGCCGCCTTGGAGGAAGACGTGCACCGTCGCCTCGGTCACCACGACGGTGCGTTCGATCACGTGCCGTTGGGCGGCAAGTGCTACGATCCCTTTGGCACGAGCTACCTGCGAGCTCCCCCCGCGTCCACGGGCCCAGCGCGGCGCGCGACGCCCCTCGGCGTCGCAGGGACGTCCAAGGACAACAAATCACCGGGAAGTTTCCCGACATCCCGTCGGTCAAGTTTCTCGTCAATCGCTGACGTACCTGTGAGTCCACCCCCCCCCCCCCCCGGCCGCCCGGGCCGGGGCGCGATCGTCCCTCGGCGCCGCAGGAACCTCGCCGGCNACGGGTTCACCGGCACGTTCCCGCTTGGCACACTTCGTCGTGCCGTGCGGCACGTCGGACTGCTGCGATTTCACTAAGTGCTCGCCTTCCGAAATCGAGATCTTCGGCGAGTGCCACGATCCCGCCACGACGAAGGAACTGTGAATTCCCCCCGCGTCCCCGACGCCCGGCGCGCCGCGCGACCGCCCCTTGGCGTCGCAGGGGCCTCAATGCATACCCTCCTTGCGGCTCGATCCCGACCAAGATCGGCCAGTTCACGGCGCTGACGTCCCTGCGAGTCCCCCCCGCGTCCCCGACGCACGGCGCGGCGCGCGACCTGCCCTCGGCGTCGCAGGGACCTCAGCAACAAGCAGATCACCGGCCCGATCCCGACCGTGATCGGCCTGCTCACGGCGCTGAAGCAGCTGCGATCCCCCGCGTCCCCGAAGCCCGGCGCGCCGCCCGACCGTTCCTCGGCGTCGCAGGAGCCTCTCTGGCACCAACGCGCTCGTCGGCACGATCCCGGCCGAGTTCGGCCAGCTCACGAACCTGGAAGGCCTGCAAATTCCCTCCGCGTCCCCGACGCCCGGCGCGCCGCGCGACGTCACATCGCAGGTTCATAAGCGGTAACAAGCCATACGCGAACCACCCTCTACTGACCGGCAAGATTCCGACCGAATTTAGCAAGCTCACGGCGCTGACAAGCCTGTTCCTCGAGGACAACAAACTCTCGGGCCAGATGCCGCCCGGGCTCACGAAGCTGACGGGACTGCAAATCCCCCCGCGTCATCGATGCCCGCACACACACAATCACATCGCGTCGCAGGAAAATCCTCGGTAACGAGATGTCGGGCACGTTCCCGGACGAGCTCTGCGGCGTCGGGTATTGCTTCGCCACCAGCCGTGGCAACCCTGACCTCGTCGCGCCGTGCGGCACGGGCAGCTGCTGCGATTTCGGGGAGCGCCCTTCGTGTCCGTCCACGCCGACGACGCCGAAGCCCACGCTTCTGCCGACGACGCCGAAGCCCACGCTTCTGCCCACGCCCACGCCCGCGGCGACCGACAAGCCCACGGACAAGCCGTCCGTTTCGCCCGCGCCGGCGCCTCCGGAGCCGCTCCACGACAGCCCGCGCGAATGCGAGACCCGCGGCCTATCGCTCGGCGCGAGTTTCGATACCGTGGTCGAGGCCTTGGAGTTCGCGGCGCAGCAAAATTGCAAGCACATCATGTGGAGCCCGCTGTACCACAAGCAGTGGGGCTCCCACTGCTGCGTCGACGACGGGCTGAACGGCCGTGCAAACAGCTACTACGAGGTCTACGCGGTTCCCTCGGCCGAGGGCCTCTCGCCCACGCCCGCGCCCTCGTTTCTGGCGAACGATTGGTGGAAGCAGCACTTCGCGGACGGGAAGATCCCTTCGGGGACCAATCTGGACGCGCCCGCCGGCTACGTCGCCATCGAGGGCGCGGGGCCCTGCATGTGCCGCAACCCCGGCTGGAACCTGGATTCGTGCGGGAAGCTCTGCTGCCGCGGATCTCCGTACACGGATCCGGATCCCAACGGGCAGTACTACATCGGCAAGCACAAGAACGGCCGCATCTGCTACAAGCCCGAGGGCGCGGAGTACAAAGACGGCGATGGCGGCAACAGCAGCGGCACCGCGTCCCTCGCCATCATCATCCCCGTCGTCGTCGCGGCCGTCCTCCTCCTCGCGGCCGTCCTCTTCCTCGTCCGCAAGCGCGTCGTCGCCGCGCGCCAGCACCGCCGCGAGAGCATGCCTACCGTCGGCGACGACAAGGCCGAGGTCGAGGCCTGAGGAGTCGCAACACACTCCACCAAGCAAGTTCAAGCACGCGAGCGCCGAGGTCCCAACGACCCGCGCCCGCGGAGGCCCGCGTCGGGCGCCAGCCCCCGACGAGCTCCTCCCCCGAGGCCCGCGTCGGGCACCAGACCCCGACGAGCCCCTCCACCACAAGCTACCGCAGCGCGCGCCATCCCCCCACCATGTCGATCTCCTCCGCCCGGCGCGCGCCCGCTCGTAAGCTTCTGCACGACCCGGGACCGGTTCCCGCAGGATATGGGTTCGCCGGTTAAAACTGGAGGGGGTCGCTCGGCGCGGGCGGCGGCGGCGCGCCGCGCGGCGCCGCCTCCTCCGTGTCGCTCTCGACGGCGAGCGCGAGGAACGAGTCCGCGAGCGCGCCGCCGCCCTTGGACCGCCGCCGCAGCGCGCGCTTCGCCTTGGGCGGCTTCATCTCCATGAGCCAGTGCGCGGCGTCGCGGCGCGCCTCGGCCTCGGCGTTGGACGCGATCTCCTCGATGTCGTGGTAGTGCGTCAGGTCGAAGCGCTGCACGGAGTCGAGGCGGAGGTAGAAGTCGACGTCGCCCGAGTCGCGCGCCTCGCGGAGCTGCTGCGAGTTGCGGATGTAGAGGAGCTGCGCGGAGATGTCCGAGAGCTGCGGCACGCGCCAGAGCCGGGGCCGCAGGCGCACCGGGAGCACGTAGTTGCGCAGCTTCCGCGCGACGACGCGCGCGCCCGCGAGGCCCTCGCGCCAGCCGTAGGGCCTGTGCGGAAACCAAATCTTCAACCCGACTTCAATGTGGGCATATTCGAATGTTTCGACACAAGCTCTTCGGCTGGGCTTCGAGAGCTCGACAAGAGCAATCGATTCGTCCAAAAATCAGCCGAATCGACTTCGATGTGACCGAGCTAGAGAGCTCTGAAGTCTGGTCCGGACCACCCAAACCAGTGGTTGGTTTCCACACAGCGTCGGGCTGCACGTCCGCGAAGGCCGACGTGTCCTGGGACTCGACGTCGACGCCGATGACCGTCGCGCGGTCGCCGACGAAGAGGTCCCGGAGCTCGCGCGCGGGCATGTTCGCCGCGTAGCCGCCGTCGACCAAGAGCGACCCGTCGTCGTAGACGGGCGGGAACCAGCCTGTGTGGATTCCAAATCTTCAACCCGACTTCAATGTGCGCGTAATCGAACGATTTGGACCAGAATCTTTCGCTGTGCTTCGGAAACTCGACGAGAGCAATCGATTCGTCCAAGAATCAGCCGAATCGACTTCGATTTGACCGAGATAGAGAGTTCTGAAGTTTGGTGGGGACCCCCCAAACCAGTGGTTGGAATCCACACGGGAACCAGCCCACGAGCGACATGGACGCGAGCACGGCGCGCGGCGCGAGGTCGCCGGACGCGTGGACGCGGACGTCGCAGGTCCGCACGTCCGTGGACACGCAGAAGAAGGGGATCCACGCGTCCTCCACGGCAAAGTCGCCGACGGCGCGGACGACGCCGCCCGCGAACGCGCCGCCGCCGAAATAGGACAGCGACGTCGACGCCGCGTTGTAGTCCTTGACGACGGTGATCGTGTCGCAGAGCGCGTCCGCGAAGGCGCCCGCGCGGCGCCGCGTCTCCGCGAGCGGCTCGGACCCGCCGGGGAAGCCCGCGCCGGGCCAGCCGTCCTCGCGGCTGAGCATCGCGCCGATCATCGCGCCCTGCGAGCACCCGCCGACGACGTCGATCTCGATGCCCAGCGACTCGAAGGCCCGGAGCGCGCCGAGGTGGCCCAGGCCCTTGGCGCCGCCGCCGCCGAGGACGACGCCCACGGCCCGGCCCGCGACGAAGCGCGCGAGGCGGCGGCAGTCCGCGGCGAGGAACCTGGCCGCGGACGCGCAGCGGCAGTGGAGGTGGCCGGGCTCGTCGAGCGCCGGCCGCGGCTTCAGGAACGCCGCCGTGCGCCGCGGCTTGGGCCAGGCCGCGTCGCGGGCCTCGTGGACGACGACGAGGAGCTGGCGCGGCAGCGCGCCGTCGGGCGCGCCCGTCCTGTCCTCGAGGGGCCAGAGCAGCGCGCGCTCCGCGCTCCCCCGGTCCGGCGGGCCCGACGCGAGCGCGACGACGACGACGGCGTCGGCCGACGCCACGGCGACGCGGCTCCAGGGCGTCGGCGCGTCGTCGGCGACGAGCAGCACGCGCGCGAAGTTCGCCTCGGCCTCGGCCGTCCACGCGGCGACCTTGGACCGGAGCTCCTCGACGTCCTCGAAGGCCTCCGCCCCGAAGACCGCGACGGCGCCGGCGCCGTCGAGCACGGCGCAGGTTCCCGACGGCGCCTCGCCGTCGGCGAAGGGCGACCGCGCGGACCGCTTGGGAAAGCCCCGCGCCGCGCAGTCGACGACCGCGTCGCACAAACCGTCGGCCGACGCGAGGGCCCGCGCGAGGCCCAGGGCGTAGCGCCGCGCCCGCGGCCCGCTCGGGAGGAGGCACAGCGTCGTCGCGTCGACGGACGCTAGGGTGACCTTGGACGACGGCCGCGGCTCCGTCCGCCGCGTCGCCCGCTGCAGCTCCCGGCGCAGCAGCGCCGCGGAGCCCGTCGCCGGCAGCGCGTCGACGGCCGCGCGCGGCAGCACGACGATCTCCGTGTCGCGCGCGCACGTCGCGTCCATGGCGAAGCGCGTGCCCGGCTTTTTCGTGAGCATCTCGCGCATGCCGACGATGCCGCCGCGCGACACGTCGGACGTCGTCGCCGCGCGGCTCGTCGACCGCGTCTTCGGCCCCGCGCGCTCGCCCCGCGGCGACCCGGGCCCGTGCCAGCGCTTGGCCCCAAAGTGCGTGCAGCGCACGCGGCCCGCGAGGACGAGGTACGCCGCGTCGGCCTCGTCGTCGCAGCGGCAGAGGGACTCGCCCGCGCGCAGGAACCGCCGGCTCAGGCCGTAGCGCGCCCAGCGCCGCACCGTGGGCTCCGCGGCCATGGCCGCGGCCCGCAGCACGGCCGCCGCGGGCGCGCCGACGGCCGCGACGGCCGCGACGTCGAGCCGCGCGACGACGGCGGCGTCGGACGCGACGAAGCACGACGCGCCGTAGGCCGCGTCGCGCGTCACGAACTCGAGGCCGCCGCAGACCGTGCCCCGCCCGAGCACGGCGAAGCGCTGGTCCGCGGGCCGCGGCTCGAGCACGACGTCGCCGTCCAGGACCACGAAGATCGCCGACGGCGCCTCGTCGGCCGCGAAGACCTCGCAGCCGTGCGAGTAGGTCGCGCCAAAGGGCGCGAGCGCCTCGAGGACGTCGTCGTCGCCGATGGACGCCGCGCGCACGGGCAGCGGCGGCTCCTCGAGCCAGCGCTCGAGCGCGAAGGTCGCGACCTTGTAGACGCGGCTCAACACGCGCTCGCAGTGGCGCAGCAGGCCCGCGGGGTCCGCGTCCTGGAGCGCCCGCAGCGACGCCGCGGACACGGAGCAGACCACCGTGTTGTCGCAGGCGGCCCGAAGCGTGCGGTGGCGCACGGCCGACGGGAAGAGCGCGCAGAGGTGGCCCGTCGACTCCGTCGCGCCGAGGCGGCCGACGTCGTCGACGCCGTCGACGGACAGCGCGACGACGCCCTGGGCGACGACCAGCGCGCTGTCGGCGGGCGCGCCGGCGGCGCAGACGACGTCGCCGCGCCCGTAGCGCGTCCACGTCGCCGCCGCCGCGGCCTCGCGCGACGCGGCCGTGGACCCGTCGAGGAACGCGCGGAGCGACGTCCGCGCGAAGAAGCGCAGCGCCGCGGCGAGCGGCGGCGCGACGACGGGGCCCTCGAGGTCGCCGGGGAAGGACAGCGGCGCCGATCGCTGCGGGAGGGTCTTAACCCGGAAGGTCGTCGCGAGGCTCGGCGACCGCGTGATCTTTAAACTCTGGACCTTCTTGTCCTCGACGCGCTCGCGCTTGCGCCGCAGGCCGACGAAGACGGCCATGGACGCGACGCCGGCGACGACGGCCGCGGCGACGACGGCCGCGGCGCGCGTCGCCGTCGAGCGCGGCAGCATCATGTGATTCGTCGAGAGTATTTACTCTCGCGCATCAGCGCTTCTGCCACTTCGACTCGGCGGAGCTCGGAGCACTGCAAGTTACCCCCCAAAAACGCCTCACGCGTCGGTCGTCGAGAGCGCGGCGTCGAAGAAGCGGCCGACCTCCTGGCGCTGGGCCGTGAAGGACGAGGGCACGGGCGCGCCCATCTTCTGGAGGAGCGTGAAGGCGAAGACGTGGCCCGGCGGCGACAGCGGGATGGCCATCAGCGCCCCGTAGGGGACGAGCGTGACGACGTCGGTGACCGTGCGCTTGAGGGCCGCGCCCTCCTGGGGCGCGAGCTTGCCGCGCTTGCGGAGCCCCTTGGCCGCGAGGCCGCCGGCGCGCGCGACGTCCGCGCCCATGATGCGCATGCCGCGCCCCACGAAGCCGAACATGCCTTTCGCGGACTTGGCCGCGTCGCGCGCGCGCCGCGCGGCCGTGACGGGGCTCCGCGCGGCGCCCGGGTCCGCGACCTGCAGGTCGTCCGCGAGCTTGCCCGCGCGCTGGAGGAGCGCCTCGCGGTCGTCGACGAAGGACCGGCAGTCCGTCCGCACGACCGACGGCCGGGGCAGCGCGCGCCGCTCGGCGTCGACGGCGCACCACTCGTCGACGAAGGCCGAGAGCTCCCCGGGTTGGCCGGCGCCGCCGAGGCTCGCGACGAGCTTCGTGTCGAGCGCCGCCGCCGTGAGCTCGAGGGACAGCTCCACGAGCGTCTCGAGGTCCGCGGCGCGGTCCGTCAGCTTCGAGGCCAGGTCGCCGTCCTGGTGCCGTTGCTGGCTCCGCCAGTAGGTCTCGAATTCGTCGAAGTCCAGCGCGCCGGACGCGTCGGCGTCGGCCTCGGCGAAGCGCGCCTCGAGCCGCCCGCGGTCGACGCCGTCGAGGACCTCCGTCGCGGCCTGGGCAGCACAAGAGTGATTCAACGTCGCTTCAACGTGAGTGTTCCGCGCGCGCGCGTTCCGGAAAAAGCATCCACGCTTCGAGACCGTTCCGAGAGATGATCGCTCGTCCAAAAATCAGCCGAAACGAGTGGAAAACGGCCGAGAATTTCGCCTTTTTGCTGCCCTGGTCGCGGCCGCCAGCACGTCGTCGAGCGTGACGGCGCCGTCGGCGTCGCGGTCGAGGACGTCGAAGGTCTGCCGGGCCCGCTCGGGCTTGGCGTCCTGCGCGGCCTCGAGGGTCCGGAGGTCGTCGTAGGTCTCGTCGAGGGCCGCGCGGAGGGCCGACGCGCGCTTGCTGCGCTCCCCGAGCTCCAGGGACGTGAGGGCACTTCGAACCGGCAGCGCCTCCGACGCGACGGCCCAGTCGCGGAGCGCCCGGAGCCGCGTCGCGTGGGCCGTGAGCGCGCGGGCGCGCGCGACGAGGAGGAACAGGAGGGCTGCCCCGACTGCCATCGTTTTCTTATGTTCTCGGCCTTGCGGTAGCCTAGCCTAGCCTACGGTGTAGCCCTAGTAAGCCGTTTGCGACGGCCAACGATGGCTGGTGAAATTCTTCCCGTTGGAGCCGAGAACGCGACGGAGGGTGAACCGAACGCGATGGAGGACAGCGACGGAGACAACACGCCCGCGATGGACGCGCCCGCCATGAACACCGAGGACTCCGACGCGGAGAACAACTACGGCACGCCGCCGGACGTCGTCGCCGCCGTCGAGTTCTTCAACGAGCTCGACGGCGAACGGACCGTCGTCTTCGGCCGCGCGCCGTCGATCGCGAGCTACGTGCGGACCATCGTCGCCTCCGAGGCCGCGACGAGCGCGTCGGGCGCCTTCGCCGCCGAGGTCGCGGCCGCGGTCCACCGCGCGGCCGACGCCGTCAGGGCCGCCGTCGGCGCGGCCAAGGGCAAGGCGCTCGACGACTGCTTCGGCGCGGGCGTCGCGCTCTGCGACGCGCTCCTCGAGCTCGAGCTCGGCGACGCGGGCGACGCGGCCCAGGAGGCCGTCGCCGCCGCGGGCGAGGCTTTATGGGCCGCGGGCGGCGCGGCGAAGGCGTCGGGCGTCGCGCCGCGCCTCCTGCCCTACGTCCTTTTGCGGTCTTTGGGAGAAGACGCGACGGGCGGCGACGTGCGGCGCGCGCTCAAGGCCCAGGGCATGGTCGACCTCATCGACTTCGGCGACGGGTCCTCGGGCACGCTTTTGGGGCTCCTCGCGCGGACGGCCGCGGCGCCGGCGTTCGTCAAGCACGCGCACGGCCGGTCCTTCGTCGGCGGCCTGCTCGGCGGCGCGTGCGAGGTGCTCGCGGCGGCGACGCACAAGACGGTCAAGGCGCAGCTGCCCCTCGCGTCGCCGGGGTTGGCGCTCCACTACGGCGACTGCTACTTTCGGGGTTGGGAGCACGCGGCGAAGCGCGAGGCGCTCGACGACTTCGAGGAGTTTCGCCTGCAAGATCTCGCGCGCGCGGCGCTCTTCTGCCGCGACGGCCGCCTCGCGGACCGCCTCAAATTGGTCCTCGACCGCGCGCTGCACGAGCGCAAGGGCCGGCCGGGCGTCGACGGCAGGGCAGCAAAAGAGAGCGAAATTCCCAACTTCAAAGGCTCCGATCTCGGCCGTTTTCCACTCGTTTCGGCTGATTTTTGGACGAGCGATCATCTCTCGGAACGGCCTCGAAGCATGGATGCTTTTTCCGGAACGCGCGCGCGCGGAACACTCATGTTGAAGAGAACTTGAATCACCCTTTTCCTGCCCAGGTCGACGGTACCATCGAGCGCGTCTACGCGCCCCTGCTCTGGCGCCACCTCGCCTGCCCGAACGCGACGGCCCGGAAGCGCGCGGTGACGATCCTCGCGGCGGCCTTTCCGGTCGTCGCCGACACGGCCAAGGCGTCGAAGAAGGAGGCCGTGGGCCTGGCGCTGGAGGACCAGTTGGAGCGCCTCCGGTGCGCGTGCGTCGACGACGCGTCGCCGGACGTCCGCGCGGCCGCGTGCGCGGGCGCGGCGACGTGCGTGAGCCGCTACTGGGACGCGCTGCCCCGGGGCTCCGCCGGGCGCCTCGTCAAGGCGTTGGCGTCGACGTGCGCGCGCGACGCGGCGTCCGCGAAGGTCCGCGAGGCCGCGGTCAAGGGCCTCGCGGAGCTCGCGGAGTCGCCGGCGCTCTGCGGCGACGCGACGCGCGCGCACGCGGTCGGCGACGCGGCGCTCGCCGCCGCGCTCAAGGACGCGCTGCCGCGGTCGCTCCACGACACGGCGCCGCGGTGCCGCCTCGCGGCGGCCAATTGCCTCGCGGCCTACGCAGCGAGCCGCGGCGTCGACGCCGCTTTGGCGTGCGTCAAGCCCAAGGACGCGCTCGCGCGCCTCGGCGCCGCCCGCGAGAACCCGAAGACGACGCTGGCCCTCGCCAAGGTCCTCGTCGACGCCTACTTCCCGCTCAAGCGGCACAAGGACGACGCCGAGGCCGCGCCCAAGCAGGTGAGCCGCGCCGTCGAGCTCGTGACGCGCGACGGCGCGGCCGCGGCCGCGCTCTACGGCCGCCTCGCCGACGTCGCGCCCGTCGGCGCCGTCGCCAAGTTGGTGGTCATGCTCGTCGTCGGCGCGGCCGCGGCGGCGGAGGAGGACGACGGCGCCGCGCCGGCGTCCGCGAAGAAGCCGAAGAAGAAGTCGCGGAAGCGGCGCCAGGCCGACGAGGAGGACGAGGAGGACTCCGACGACGACGACGAGCCGCCGCCCGAGGAGCTCGCCGGCGGCGCCCTGGCCCGGGCCATGGTCAGGGCCGCGGCGCTCGCCTACGGGTCGCTCGACCGGTCCGCGCTCGGCGCCGGCGACGACGGGAGCGAGCGCCTGGCGGCGTACCTCCGCGACGGCGTCGGCCCGGCGCTCCCGGGGCTCGCCGGCGTCGCCGACGCCGCGGACCTGCGCGCGCTCGCCGCGGCGGGCGCGGCCGTCGCCGGCGGCGACGAGCGCGAGAGGCGGCTCGCGCTGCGCGACGCGTTGGCGGCCGCGGCGGCCGACAGCGAGGACGCCGTGCTCGACGTCGCCGCGCGCGTCTGCGCCGCGGACGTCGACGGCGACGGCGTCGCCAAGTGCCTCGGCGAGCCGCTCTTCGCGCTCGGCGCCGCGCCGCCGGCGCCGGCGTCGCCGGCGGACGCGCCGGGCCCGCGGAAGCGCGGCCGGCCGCCGCCCGCGCCGAAGCCCGCGGGCCTGCCCGCGGCCGCGGCGCTCGCGGCCGTCGCGGAGATCCTCGCCGGCGGCGACGCCGCGGCCCAGCGCTGCCGCGCGAAGCTCGTCGAGTCGGAGCGCGCGCTCGATTCGCTCCACGCGGCCGTCAAGTACGCGCGCGCGGCCGCGCTCGCGGGAAACGCCGGCGCGACGCTCGACGCCGTCGCGCTCGTGGAGACCGAGGCGGCCCTGGCCGTGGCCAAGTTCGAGCGGGACCTCGACGGCGGCTTCACGGCGGCGGACGTCGACGAGCGGCTGGCGCGCGACTTCGGGGCTTTGCTGACCGGCGCGACGGCGCACGCCGAGGCCGCGCTCGCGGAGCCGCCGGCGCCGGCGTCGCCCTCGGGCCACGGCCTCTTCTCGCCGACGACGCGGCCCCGGGCCCGCGCGGGCACGCCCCAGTCGTCGTCCTCGTCGTCGTCCTCCTCCTCCTCGTCGCCGTCCGCCGCGTCGGCCGCGGTCCTCGGCGCGGCGCTCGCGGCCGCGGGCGACGTCCTCGCCGGCGCGGGGCCCGCGCTGACGCGCGTGCTCGCCGAGGCCGCCGAGGCCTGGCTCGCGCTCGCCGCGGCGGCCGTCGCGGCGCCGGCCCGGGCCGACGCGGCGCTCGCGCTCGCGCCGCCGCTCCTGCGCCTGGCCGCGCGGCTCCGCGGCGCCGGCGCGCTCGACGCGTCCCACGACGCGCCCCTGCTCCGCGTGCTCGGCGCCGCGCTCGCCGGCGACGACGCGGGCGCGGAAGCCGCGGCGCGGGCGACGCTCAAGGTCGCCCTGCGGGACACGGCGCGGCGGTCGACGCTCCTCGGGGCCCTCGCGGACGTCGCGCAGTGGACCGCCGTCGCCGACGCCGCGACGCCGCGGAAGGCGCGGCCCGCGGGCAGCGCCGGCGCGTCGGAGCTCCTCGCCGTCGTCGCCCTCGACGAGGGCGCGGCCCTCGAGGCCCTCGCCTGCGGCCTCGACGCGAGCCTCCTCCTCCCCCACGCGCCCCCCTCGCTCGCGGCGAAGATCCGCGACGCCGCCGCGCCGCCGGCCGCGCCGCCGGCCGCGCCGGCCCTCTCCCAAGCCTACTGAGCGCCGCGCCCCCCTCCCTCCCCCAAGATAAGATGCACGCGGCCTTAGGCGCCCGCCCAGCCGAGGTGGACGGCCGGGAGCCCGTTCGAGTAGGGCGCGCCGGCCGGGCATTCGCTCTCGACGGCGCGGGACCGCGTCACGGACGTTGCCCAGGCGGAGAAGTTCGCCTGGAGCTCGTCGACGAGGTCCGGGTAGCGGGCCGCGAGGTCGTGCTGTTCCTCGAGGTCGTCGGCGAGGTCGAAGAGCATGGGCAGCGGGCAGTCGTCGCACGACGTCGAACCGACGACGAGCTTCACGGACCCGACGCGGTAGGCGTAGCCCCGGCCGCTGTTCGGCGGCCAGTCGTGGAACGCGAGCGCCGTCGCGCGCGGCGCCGGCCAGTCCGCCGCGCCGCGGAAGAGCGGCGCGAGCGACCGGCCGTCGAGCGGCCAGTCCGCCTGCGCCTTCGGCCGCGACACGCCGAGCACGTCGAGCACCGTCGGCAGCAGATCTGTTGTTCCGACCGTCGCCCAGGACACGCGGTTGACGTCGCCGACGACCGCGGGCCACGACGCCACCGTGGGCACGCGGTGCCCCCCCTCGAACAGGTCGCGCTTCCGCCCGCGGAGCTGCGCCGCGTCGCCGGGCCACGTGGCAAAGTGGTCCGCGTCGCAGAACCCGGTCGGCCCGCAGTTGCCTGAGTGGAAATTCAACCACCGGTTTGGGGGCTCTCTATCTCGGTCGATTCGGCCGATTTTTGGACGAATCGAGTGCTCTCGTCGAGCTCTCGGAGCGCAACATAAGCGCTCGCGTCGAAACGGTGGACGTCGGGTTGAAGATTTGAGTTCCACGCGGGCGGTCGCCCTCGGGCCCGTTGTCCGTCGTGAAGTAGACGAGCGTGTCGTCGTAGCGCTTGAAGTCGCGCAGGTCCCGGAGCACGGCGCCGACGGCCGCGTCGAGCTCGAGGAGGCACGCGTAGAAGTCGAGCTGCGCCGCGGAGTAGTTGTTTTTCGGTTGGCCCTGGCGGTTCTCGGGTAGGCAGCCGTCGCCGTCGCGGCACGCGGCCACGGTCGCCGCGGCGCCGACGAAGGGGATGTGGCAGTTGTGGAAGGAGAGCTGCGCGACGAAGCCCGCGTCGTCGTCGACGGTCTTCAGGAACGCGGACAGCGACTGCTGGACCTCGACGGCGTCGATCGCCTGTGTGGAAATCAACCACTGGTTTGGGGGGTCCCCACAGAACTCTCCATCTCGATCAAGTCGAAGTCGATTCGGCTGATTTTTGGACGAATCGATTGCTCTCATCAAGTTCTCGAAGCACAGCCGAAGAGTCCGGCGCGATTCGTTCAATTACGCGCACATTGAAGTCGGGTTGAAGATTTGAGTTCCACGCGGTCGATCGCGTGCGACGGTCGCGTCATGTTGCCGACGCCGTGCTCCGAACGTTTGTCCTCGAACCAGTAGTTGAAGCAGCAGCCGTCGGGCCCGCCGGCGGCGAAGCCGCCCGTGCAGTGCTCGGGCCCGCCGTCGTGGCCGAACTCGCACGACGCGTTCCAGGCCGCCGAGCACATGCAGTTCGTCGTCGCCGTCGGCGCGACCTCGAGCGTCGCGTGCATGCGGTCGAAGCCGTGGACCAGGGGGCTCGACGGGTAGGGCGCGTCGGCGTAGAAGCTGCCCAGGTGCCACTTGCCCGCGAAGAAGCTCCGGTGGCCCGCGGCCCTCGCGGCGTCGGCGATCGTGAACGTGCCGGTTTGCGCGAACGGGAAGCCCGGGTCGCACTCCGTCGGGTCGCTGCAGTCGTAGACGTAGTCCACGCAGTCCCGGAAGTGGTTCCGGCCCGTCAGGATCGTCGCGCGCGTCGGCGAGCAGACCGTGCCGCCGCTGTGGGCGTCCTGGAAGGTGATGGACCCCGGCGCGGCGGCCCAGGCGTCGATGTTGCGCGTGAGCGCGGCGCCGCCGTTGTAGGACACGTCGCCCCAGCCGATGTCGTCGCCGAGGAGGACGAGGACCGACGGCTTGCGGGCCGCGGCGACGACGGGGAGGAGGCCCAGGGGGAGGCGCATGGCGGGGCTGCTACCACACTTTGATCGGAGCTGCCCCGGGCTTCGAGGCGCAGAGTGCCCCGGCTTCTGAATTCTGCGGTTTGCGGTGAGGCGGAAGCTTCTGTTTTTCGAGCCAGCTGTGAGCTCAAGTATATCTGCTCTGGCGTTCCCGGCCGTTCGGGGGTTTTGGCAGGGCGCGGCCGCGCGCGATCTCCAAGCACGCCCTGCCGCACAACATGCGGAGATTAGAGCGTGCATGGGCCAGGCGGGACGCCCGGGGCGGCTACGAGTGCGCGATGGCTCAGCGCCGCGCGAAGAGGGCGTCGGCCTCCGCGGGCCGTCGCCCTTCTAGGCCCTTCTGCCCCAACAATAATAGAAAATAACTAGGGTATGAACATAAAGGTCCTCGGCGGACAATCTGATCACCAGCTGCTGCTTCCTCGGCGCGCGTCCCCTGCCGCTGCTGCGAGCGGTGTTCTTGCAGCGTCGGAAGGCCGCTTGCGCGCCGTCCTCTTGCACCGTTTTGCATATCCAATTGCGCACGACGACACCCCGTAGCACCATCCGCGGCGGTGAGAAAACCAGCTGAAGCGCTCCTAAAGCGCTCCCAGCCAATGGAGTCCTTCGCCCCCTACAACAACCAGCACACCAACCCGCCACCTTCTTCAGAACAATCGCGCCTCGAGCAGACGCGGCTCGACGAGAAGAAGCGCCTCAAGCGAGCCGCCAACCGCCGGTCCGCCTGCACGAGCCGGGTGCGCAAGAAGCAGTTCGTCGAGGAGATGACGGCGGCGAACGAGCGCCTCGCGGTGTACGGCGCCATCCTCGCGCGCGCGCCGCCGACGATCACCGTCGACGAGGCGTGCGCGGTGCGCTTCGCGAGCCGGTCCGCGCGCGAGCTCCTGGGCCTCGACCTCAGCGAGGCGCTCGACGGCCTCAACCTCGTGGACCTCCTCGCCGCCGACGACCACCAGCCCGCGGCCGCGCGCTGGGTCCGCGCGGCCGCGGCGGGCGCCAAGGCCGAGGCGCCGCGCTGGGACCCGGGCGCGCCGCCGGCGGCCGACTGGCGCCCGCTGGAGTGGTCCACGAGCCAGGGCAGCGTCAACGTCGTGTCCTCGGACAACAGCGGCGGCAGCGACGAGGCGCGGTCGGGCTCCGACGACGGGCGGAACTCGTCGGAGGATTCCGACGAGCGGCCCGCCGTCGAGGACTCGGCGGAGAAGCGCGACACGTCGCCGCCCCCGGCGCTGCCGGACCTCATCGGCGCCGCGGGCGCCGGCGGCGGCTTCCCGCGGAAGCGCTGCTACGCCGACGTCGTCGACCGCCAGCCCGTCGCCGCGCCGCCGCCGCCGAGCTTCCGGGCCGACGACGGCTACCGGGAACCGTCGCCGCACGGGTCCGCGGCGTCGTCCGGCGACGACGAGGCGGCGCCGGCGGGCGACGGCCACCGCCTCTGCCTCGTCTGCCGGAGCGGCCGCGTCGTCGTCGTCGACGCCGTCCGCGGCGGCTCCTTCGCGTCCGCGGCGCCCGTCGCGAACGTCGTCGGCGGCGGCTTCGGCGACGACGACGACGCGGAGTCCGAGGCGACGCAGCCGCCGAGCCCCTACCACGGCGCGCCCCAGCCGCCGAGCCCCTTCGGGAGCCGCGGGCCCGGCGCGCCCTTCGCGCCGCCGCGGCAGTTCGCGCGCGCGCCGTCGACCGAGTCGGCGGCGACGGCGGCGGACCGCGCGCCGTCGCCGGGCCGCCGCGAGACCGTGCTCGCGCTCCGCGTCGTCGACGGCCGCGGCGGCGCAAACGAGGGCCGCCTCGCGGTCGCCGCGCCGCCGCAATCGGCCGACGACGGCGCCGCGCCGCCGCGGCCGAGCCCGCGCGCGGGCGCGCGCCGGGCCGAGCTCCGGCCCCTCGACGTCGTCGACGCGCTCGCCGGCGGCGGCTCCTGCGTCGAGGGCGACGTCGGGCGCGCGCTCCTCGCCGCGCGCGACGCGCCGCGAT